AAAGAAGACAGGAAGGTCAACCAGCTGTCATCCTTACCCACCATGTTCTTTCCTGGCTTCTCACAACTCCTAACCACTGGAAGGTAGGAAGGTTCCAGAAGCCATGCACTGTCAGGCTTTATGCGTGTGAGGTCTCATCCTGGCCAGACCCACAAATATTGTGATGTATTCACTTTGTTTTTATATGATTAGTTCTTTGTTTCTGCCTGGTATAGATCTGATTTACCTCAGATTATTATGTGTGTGTGGAAACTTTTCCCTCAAGATCAAAAAAGACCAGCATGGGTGAGGAAAAAGCAGCTGAAAGAAGCCACTGGTAGCCCTTCACTCTGCCTTGCTTTGTGTCAGTCAGCTCACCTTCCTCTGCCTGGGGTGCTCCTCATTCTCATATGACCACTGGTTACCACAGTTTGGAAATGAAATGGGTCCGAAAGGCCCATGTGCTACATACAGGCTTGGTCTCCATCCTTTGGTGATATTGGGAAGGGATGGCACCTTTAGGACATAGGGCCTAACGGGATGTTAGTCATTGGAGGAGTGTTCCTAAAGGGAATGCTAGGTCCTGGCCCCTTCCTGTCTTCCTCTTTCTTTTGTTTCCCAGTCATCATTAGGTAAAAGCCCCCTTCTGCCACCTGCTCCTGCCACGATGTGCTACCTTACCACAGACCCAAGAAAATAGGGTCATGGATGGAAAGTAGGAACTGAAATAAAATCTCCCTCATAAGTCCATTGTCCAAGGCATCTTGTTTCAGTAACAGAAAACTGACCAACACACTTGTGCTGGTTAGTTTTTATTGTCTCCTAGAATCATCTGGGAAGAAGGAACCTCAACTGAGGGTTTTCCTCAATTTAATTGGCCTATGGCCATGTCTATGAGAGATCGTTTTGATTAATGATTTATGAGGGAGAGAGGGTTCAGCCCACTGTGGGCAGTACTATCCCTGGGTAGGTGGTCCTGCGCTGTATAAGCTGAGCCAGGCACTGATGGATCCAGGAACCAGCATTTGTTCATGATTCCTGCCTCTAGGTTCCTGCTTTGAATTCCTGCCTGAAATGCAAGCCAGATAAACCCTTTCCTCCCTTAAGTTGCTTTTAGTCAAAGTGTTTTGTCACAGCAACACAAAAAGTATACTAGAATATTAATGGAAATTCATAGGAAGCCAGATTCAGTTGCATAGAGGGGACCTGATGGATCTAATTTATAGTGAGTTTGAAAGCGTATTTAAATCAAGGTTGGACAACATTGGACAATTCACATAGAGCACAGAAGCTGCTTCATTGATACCAGCAAGGAAGTGTGAAGTCAGCCTTCCCTTATTTCTGGGGCACCTGTCATCCCCATTTTATAGCCAAGAAAACTGAGGTTAGGACACCTGCCCTGAGTCACCAGAGGCCACCTAAGAACTGCACTGGTTTCCCTTTGTTAAACAGCCACCCTTCTCAGAGAAGCATGGCCCTCCAGGAAGCCTTTCAGAGTGTATACCCAGGTGCCTAGACTTGGGGCCAGACTCCTAGTCATTGAGTAATATGAATGGCTAGGATTGGTAGAGGCAGTTCTGGGATGCTAGGGACCCCTAGAAGGCCCAGGGACCCCTCAGAGAGGATCGTGCACCACACTTAAAGTTTGGGCTCTATCTGCCTCATTATTATTAATTGCAGTTTTATAGACCTCAACATCTCCTACAAATGCTTTAGGCTTGAAAGTGGAATTAGGTTGGGATGTGGAGGTTATCTGACTTTTCATTTATCTTAGTTTTTCATTCATGCTTATTTGTGTGTGGCACATTCACACATGAACACGTGCATGTGGAGGCCAGGGGTTTAATTGGATATTTTCCTCAATCACTCTTTACCTTATTTTTTGAGACATGGTCCCTGACTAAACCTGGAACTCACTGATTCATCTAGACTGATTGGTCAGTGAGCTTGAGGGATCTTCCTGTGTCCACCTCTTCAGTGCTGGCATGCACAGCTTGTTCACATGGGTGCTTAGGAGTCAACTCAGGTCCTCATACTTGTGTAGCCGGAACTTTGGAACTTTGCTGACTGAGCAATCTCCCCAGCCACCGTTGTTTATTTTTATTGAGCATTTATCATACAAATGAGTCCCAGATCACATGACATGCAAAGAAGCCACGCTACAGGCAGCACTGGCGCCACCAATTTGAATACAAAAATGACATTAGCAGGGAATTGTAGCCGGTGGAAGCGCCCATAAGCCAAAAAGAAGTGAGGGCAGCTTGCTGACTTTGGAGAGGAAAAGTCAGTTAGGAGGAGCCTGTCTCCAGTAAAAACAGGAAAACTTAGAACAGGCAAGTACACAGCACTTTATAGTTTATCCAGTGTTATTTTTCCCTCAAACATTGGAAAGTGGGAAAGGGTTACAGAAAAGGACATGAAAGTTCAGAGATTCAGTGTCCAACGCAGGAGCAGACGGTTGGATTGGGGGTGGAGATTTGGTGAGGCAGCTGGGCCTTCACTACCTACAATATACAGGAAGCCCCCAAACACCAGTGACCCGCTGTGAATGATAATGAGTCTCCTCCACCTCCTCTAACCCCCAAGGGTCACACCTCTGTGGCCAAAGCCATGAGCTTTGATTCCTAGGATGCACAGCCAAGAGGGACACTGGCATTGCTTTAGCACCTGTAAAGCACTTAGTACCTTAACTATGCCCAATGACATGGGTACACAGGTGTATCCTTGGGTGAAAAAAATGGGACCAAGAAATATAAAGAACACCCTCTCCTCCACACCCTGTACCACGTGCCCCCACAGTTTGTCTTTTGTTCAAGACTGTGTTGTCTAGGGCAAGTATCCACCTGCCTCTGTTTACTCGCCTGTAAAATGGGAGCATGAGCATCTTGTTTTCTTGCAGCCTCCTGAGTGACAAGCTGAGGGAAGTGGAGGAAAAGCCTACCAGTCTGAACAAGCCCAGAGCCAGAGCTCCCCTCCTGACCTGTTCTCTGGGAGCCACCTGTTATAGTGAAGATCTATGGTTATATATTCTGTTCTGACCTCTGGCTCCCAGGATCACATGGGAATCAGTGGGAGGAGCCTCAGGTGAGCTAGTCTGTCTGTTGTACTGTCACAGGCTCCACTGGTGAGGAGAGTGTCTTGGGGGTGAGAATGCAATCTACATGGATATTTCATGGCTAGCAGAGTGGCAGCTGTCCTTCTTTAAGCAAACAAGCTCTCATCCCAAAGGAGTTCCAACCCCATTTGCTTTCTACACCAATCCAACAATTATTTAATGAATACAACTTCCTCTATAAATGTTCAGGGTTTGTTTTTTCTTAAAGCTCTGGCAAGCTAACATAAGTCTAGCCCATCCAGGGTCCCAGATACACTGACAGAATGGGAGTCCTGCTTCAAATTTTCCTGAATTGCTGCCCCCTAAGGCTTGGAATACCCACCAGCCTTGGGTCCCAGGTCACTGCACAGGGAGAGTCTTTCAGTACCTTGAACTACTCAGATGCTGGGATTCAGTTAGCATCTAGGGTCTTGATGTGAGACATCCCAGATATTTTCAAGAGGTGGGAGTCATGGAACCAGCTGGGTAGGCAGGGAGCCCAGAAAGTGGCAGGGAAGTTGAGGAAAGAGGTGACTTCACAGTGCCAGTGACCCTACTGTCAAAGGAAGATTCACAGATGTTGATCAGTCCTCAGTCACTGGGGGCCCATTGTCCTCCTTCCCCAACTTCGCCTGCACACCCAACTCATAAAAACACAAGACCTCATCACCGTCAGAGAGAGAGCATGTCACCTGGGGGCTCTCCAATGGTTTCAAAGTTTATCCCACTACGCAGAAGAAACACCTAGTGACACTACACTGAAGAAGGACACAGAGAACAGAAATGGACACTGAGTCCCTAAAACAGACAGAAGGAACCCCAGACAGAGGAGGAGTCGCCTGGCTGACTCAAGTGGGATTACTCACAAGAAAGAGGTGGATTGGAGAGCTGAGCGTATCTAAAGATTAAACAACATCTTCTGTAGGAGGAGTTCAAGCCTCACTCAATGTTCCAGTTTACTTAGGGTGGCATGTGTGAGAAGCCTTCCCATACTTCAGATGGGGCTTGGGACTAGTTCCTGGGGGAGTGGAGTGTTTTCCTAAAAGGCAAAATAGGGGAGTGGGACATGCTGCCACCTCTTGAGAGTTCTGAGCAATGTCAATGTCAAAGAGCTTTGACTCTGAAAGAAAATAGCTGCAAAGATCTCGTGTTTTTTGTATTTTTTAATTTTAAAATCGAAGGTATAATTTATACGTTTCAAAAATCAAAATAATTGCCTCCCTTGGGCTGGGCTGGAAAGCGGCCTGTGCTTGTGAAGGTCACAGAACCAGCAGCTGCAAAACTCCAAAGCGCGGTGCAGGAAGTTTGTTGTGTGAAGAAAATTCCCGGCCAGCCGGGCTCAGAGTGGACCTCCCGCCTTAGGCCGTCCTAGCTTGGGCAGGATGGAGTGCGGCAGGCGTCTGGTTACTGCACCCAAAGTCCTAGGCAGCAGCGACAAGTGGCCACTCGTGCGACTCCCAGATCCCAGGCACCGCGTAAAAACGCCCTAGGGTTTTTTGCTCAGCCCAGAGTGCTGCGGGACACGCTGGCCAGAGTTGGGCAAGTGCCTGGAGCCGAGGGGAACCAGGGAACGTAGGTGCCTCGGTGAAGCCGCCCGACTGCAGGGAGAGCGCCTGATGCTACAATCCCTGCGCCCAGTTGTCTGTCCTGGGTGTGAGACTTCGGAGCCCCAGCGGAGCTCGGCTAATGTCAACCTCCGGGGCTGCGGGAGCGCATGGCGCAGCTGCCTGGCGATGCTCTGCGCTCCACTCAGACCGCGGAGCCAGAGCTGGGCAGGGACCGCCCGCTCCCGCAGGAGCAGGGTCAGCGGGAGGGGTGGCTGGGGCGGGCCGGTCCCCTCCCCCCTCACGCGCCCGCCCTCCTTTCCTCGCTCCTGCAGCCAATTAGACTGCCCCCTCGGGCGGGAGGCGTGGGGCGCTGCATAAAGCGGCGCCGAGCTGTCACCCCGGAGCAGGCTGCGCTCCGCCTGGCTGAGCCGGTGCGCCGCGGGCGGCGGAGCGCGGAAGAGCCATGGCCACTACCAACGGGGCAGTGGAAAACGGGCAGCTGGATGGGAAACCGCCTGCCCTGCCGTGCCCCATCCGCAACTTGGAGGTCAAGTTCACCAAGGTGAGGTGGGCGCCTCTCTCACCCGACGGCCTCGGACTCCGCGCGGGGCAGCCTGGTAGGCGGCGCAGGGTGAGGCACCAACTTGCAGGGCAGTCTGCGGGGTGCTTCCTCCTCCTGAGCGTCCCTGTCCGGGCCGGGTTCCTCCGAAAGCACACCCTAGACGAGACATCCCGAGTGGGAACCGGTGCCTCCTCCTGCTTGGCGATCCAACTCTGGACGCCGTTGCAGACTGGGGAGGCCCCCACGTGCCCGGGCCACCGCCTTCCTGAAGCACCAGTGCTTGGTTGCTTGCGGTGACTGGGCATGCGGTGGTCTCTGGCAGACTGGTTTCTGGGCTGAGGGACCGGGCTATGTCAGAGGTACAGGATGACTCCGAAATTAAAGTATGAACCACATGAAGGAACGGCGATTGGGAAGCAGGTTCTCAGGATCTGGCACCTTCGGTGCTTTACATGTATCCACCTTCCCAGTAGAACTGGAGCTGTCAGGGGTTGGGGGAGAGGATGGTGCTCATTGATGAATGTTCCTTAAGGCTAGATCTGGGCCCAAAGAAGCCTTGGGTAGGGAAGGCCAGAATGCCGCAGGCCAGCGCCTTAGTTTGGCAGTGAGATGGCCTACCTGGGGCAAAAAGGGAAGGTGGCGCTATCTGGGAGCAGAGCTGAGTCCCCAAGGAAGGACACCCCCAAACTCAGACACACTGCTCTGTGCCCTCTGGATAATGGACACTTCGGGGACCCAGATCCAAGGTGACCTCTGGCTTCATGTGTGGACACTTTTAATTACTCCTCTATCCACATCTTACCCATACCTCCCAACTCCAGCTGACACAAAGCTTAAAAACTACCTCATCAATTTTATTTTCAAAAGTAGCAATTATCCCTCTCGAATAATTTTAATCCAAAGGCGAAAGTGGCAGGCCACTATGTGTGGGCTTTGGGTTCTGGTCTGTTGGCACTTAATCCCCAAAGTTGGCTATGCTGACATTTAAATTGCATGACATTTATGTGAACTGTTTTCCCAGGGAGGGCTCTGTAATCAACAGAGGCATGGCCCTGGAAAGACAGCAAGTTTTTCTTTTTCTTTTTTTTTTTTTTTTTAATGTAGTTTCCTTAATCCTATGGGCTTCAGAGGGCAAATTCCAAGTCCAGTGCTGGTAGTGGTGAGGATAATGGCTTCATTTCTCAGACCTGAGCACTGGGACCCGCTCCTGCTGTTCTGGTGGTAGCAATTTGGCTTTGTTTTCATAGTTTTGTAAAACACTACAGCAACCAGAAAGTGAACAGGATTGCTCTTTGCTCAGAACCTTACTGAGTCCCCTCAGAACAGTCTTGCTATATGGCAGGAAAAGCTTGCATTTTGCTAGGCGAGTCCCTAGGAAGCTTTAACGGTGTGGATGCAGCCTTTATGGAGGAGGACCTTGGAAGGTTCCCAGACCAGTAGTACACCACCATTGTTGTCTGGCAGATACCTAGCTCTTTACTGGTTGAATGGCACATGTGTGTGATGGAGGCTGAGGAAATGTGGTAAGATGCAAGGCACTGAGAGCTGAGATCCTCAGAGGGCTCCAGGAGATAAGGCTCCAATTGCCTGATGCCAGGTTATACTTTCCACACCCTCATCAGCTCTGCCTGCTCTGTCCTTGTTCCTGGTCCACCTCTATAGAGGCCTTCCCATAGAAATTAAAAGACTAAGGTGAGCCCTCCATGGTCAGGGAGCCCTGAGCTAAGAGGAAAGGAGCCAGAGATACAGAAGAGCAGAGTCCAGGCCCAGGGCAAGCAGTTGACAGTGCAGTATGTGATCCAGCAATGGAGTACTGTTTTACTAGAGCTCTTCTCTGTGCTTCTGCAACATGAAGGGTAGATTTGATCCCAGACCATTTTGGGGCAATTTCCCCAGGGGATGCAGCTTCCAGAAAAATGACTTTATTCACTCGTTCTCAAATTCTCACATTGGGCCTAGGGTCCCATGGCATGATTCTGGTGTAGGAAGAGAGGGTCCATCTGCAGTCTCAATGCCAGCTTTTATTATCTCTTTTATGAAAAAGAAAATTCCCCCAAATCTCCTGAAAACGTAGTCATTTTGAGTTTAGCTGAGTGGCCAGCCTGAAGTCCAGCAGAAGTTACTAGAAACGGTGCCAGGAGGGTTCTCTTGTGTGATCACCACCTTTACCTCTTTCCAGGGCACCATCAAGCACTTTTCAGGTCCTTTGGTAAAATATGAATTCTGTCTAGAGCTCACAATATCTTTAACTTTATATCTCTATAATGTTTGTTTGGTACCAGTTCACAGTTCCTTTGTAGACCCTTTATCTACCAGGTTAAGATTCAAAACAATTCAGCCACCATCACTGGCAGGCCATGCCCATGGACCATTTCCTTATTTGTATTTATGTGTTGCTTTAGTGGAAAGAAAATCAGCAGTAGGTGACTTACTAGTAGACTGTCTTACTAATAGGTGTCTTACTGGTAAGACAAGCTGACTTACTAGTAGAACCCAAACAACTTTGCTAAATTAGAAACATTGTGCTGGAGAAATACGGTCAAGCAGTCTGAAGTTTTTATTTGAAGTCACTGGTTAGCAAGGACTAAGGACCAATCAATGTCATCAACAACCAAGTCATTTTTTTCCTTTTTTTGGGGAGGAGATGAAGTAGCAGACACCCGATCACTGCAATCTGTTTCCATCCCCTGCTATTTAGATTCTGCTTTACCACCTTCTCATTTTCCCTCCTCCTTGGAATTGATACCAGGACGGATCTAGAATCAGCAATTTTCACTGACAGTCTCTATTATCTAACAAATGAAATTTCATCTTCCTTCAAATGGGCCTGCTCCTGGCTGTACTTTCCTCTCCACACTAACTTAACTCCTTCCCCGCTTATTAATTTCTCGCTGTTGCCGAGTGAGTACTTGCTGCATGGCAAAAGTGAACTATTGGATTTGGTTTCAGCTGAGAGAATAAACCTGTAATTGTAGACTGGCCTTTTCCTTTCGTGCTTCCCTGGGGGCCTGGCCTCACATGGAAGACACTGAGCTTCCAGAAGCAGGATGGACATGTCCTACTGGAACTTGATGCTCTCGGCTCTGACTCCAAATTGGGAGCCAGGGGGAGTCTCTGTCCACCTGCCAAAAGACTGTCCTGTGTACCAGGCCTCCTCCAAAGGTTGTGCAAAGCCCCAAGGTATGGAAACCACATATTCAGAAGATGGCTGCCCGCTCTCATCTACTATCAATGGGGAGTCATGTTTCACAGTCATTGAAATTAGCCTTGCAGTGACAGGGCTTTTTTTTTTTTTTTTTCATTCTTTTTCTTTCTTTCTTATCTTTAGTTTTCTTTTTTTTCTTTTTTTTTTTTTTTTTTACTAATCCAAAAAGAAGAAGTGCAGTGTAAAGACCCCGGATATGCATCCAAATGAAAAATGAAGCCTAACAAACTAGTTTTG